TCTCATTCCCTAACTAGATGATATGTTGGACATGCTAGAAGGATCAAAGTGGTTTTCAAAGATTGATCTGCGAAGTGCGTACCATCAATTTCGAATCCGTCCTGGAAACGAATGGAAAACAGCATTCAAGACTAAGGATGATTTGTATGAATGGTTGGTTATGCCAATCGGCCTTTCTAATGCTCCCAACACCTTCATGCGAATTATGCATCAAGTATTACGACCTTTCACTGGGAAATTTGTCGTGGTTTATTTTGATGACATATTAATCTACAGTAAATCAAAGGAGGACCACATGGCCCATTTACGAGAGGTGTTGACAGCACTGGAGGTAAGCAAGTTGTACGTTAACCTTAAGAAGTGCAGTTTCCTCACAAGTAATTTGTTGTTCTTGGGTTATGTGGTTAGTTCAGATGGCATTCATGTGGATCAAGAGAAGGTTCGAGCCATCCAAGAGTGGCCAACACCCAAGACTGTTAATGATGTTCGGAGTTTCCATGGGTTGGCTACGTTTTATAGACGTTTCATTCGAAGTTTCAGCACTATTGTGGCACCAATAACAAAGTGCATGTGGGGTGATAATGCAAAAAAGAGCTTATTGTTGATCAAAGAGAAGTTGTGCACTGCACCAGTGCTAGCTTTGCCCAGTTTTGAGAAGATTTTTTAGATAGAATGTTATGCCAGTGGTGTGGGCATTGGGGTTGTCCTATCTCAAGAACATAAACCAGTGGCCTTTTTCAGCAAAAAATTAAGTGAAGCTCGGCAAAAATGAAGCACTTACGACCAAGAATTTTATGCAGTGGTTCGAGCTTTGAAGCATTGGGAACATTACCTGATATAGAGAGTTTGTGTTGTATACTGATCATCAAGCTTTAAAGTTTATCGACAGCCAAAAGCACTTAGATAACATACATGTAAGATGGTCTACTTTCCTTCAGAAATTTCCTTTTACTATTCGCCACAAATCAGGGGTTTTGAATCGAGTCGCAGATGCCTTGAGTCGACGGGCTAGTTTATTAGTCACGTTGACACATGAGATTGTGGGGTTTGAGTTCCTAAAAGAACTTTATCCTGATGATGATGACTTCAATGAGATATGGGCAAAGTGTATTCAAAGGCAACCAGTCACTGATTTCTACATCATTGATGCCTATCTATTTTGACAAAATCGCTTATGCATTTCCCGTAGCTCTTTACGAGAGAAACTAATTCGGGGTCTCCATGGTAGTGGCTTAAGTGGACATTTGGGCAGGGACAAGACTATCGCAAGTATGAAAGAAAGATATTTCAAGCCTCAGTTGAAGCGAGATGTTGGCAATTTTGTGAGGAAGTGCTACATTTGCCAAGTATCCAAAGGGCAGTCTCAGAATACTGACCTCTATATGCCTCTACCTGTTCCTAACAGCATTTGGGAAGACTTGTCGATGGACTTTGTGTTGGGACTCCCTCGTACCCAACGTGGAGTTGATTCTGTGTTCGTAGTGGTTGACAGGTTTTTAAAGATAACGCATTTTATTCCTTGTCGAAAGACTTCAGATGCCTGTCATGTGGCTCGATAATTCTTCCGAGAAGTAGTTCGTTTGCATGGAGTCCCTCAATTCATTACCTCAGATCGTGATGTCAAGTTCCTTAGCCACTTATGGGTGACTTTGTAGAAGATATTTAACACAGCCTTGAATCGTAGTTCAACCGCTCATCCTCAAACAGATGGTCAAACAGAGGTGACTAATAGGACTTTGGGCAATTTGCTTCGCAGCATTTGTAGAGACAAACCAAAGCAATGGGATCTTGCTTTGCCTCAAGCAGAATTCGCATCTAATAGCGCAGTTCACAGTGCCACAGGAAAGTCACCATTCTCTCTGGTGCATGTCACACCTCCAAAACATACAGTTGATTTGCTCCGTTTGCCTCGAGGTCCAGAAGTGAGTACTACCACTGAAACCATGGCCAAACAAGCCCAAGCAGTACAAAAAGAAGTACGACAAGCCCAAGCAGTACAAAAAGAAGTACGACAGAAGCTAGAGGAAACAAATACCAAATATAAAGCAGCCGCAGACAACCATCAGCGCTCCAAACTGTTCAAGGAAGAAGATTTAGTAATGGTGTTTTTGCGCAAAGACAATTTCCAATCGGTACATACAACAAATTGAAGCCTCGCAAGTACGGTCCATATAGGGTGTTGAAGACATTGCTTATGTGATTGAGTTACCAGGCAACATGAAGATTTCCAAGACTTTTAATGTAGCTGATTTATATGAGTATAATAGGAAGAACCCCTTTATCCAGAATTGAACTCGAGGTCGAGTTCTCTCCAAGAAGAAGGGACTGATGTAGAATAAGTAGCCGAAGACTTCTTGGAACAATTGGACCAACAAAAGGCAAGAAAGATGTAGAACAAAATTCTATAATTTTTATATTTCTTAATTTTGTTATTTAGAATTAGATTTTTTACTAGGATTTTAAATAGTTTAGAATTTTTTAGTCTCTTAGGTTTCCTAGTTTCCTATTCTCTTAGGTTTCTTAATTTGTGTTAATTTAAGTTTCCTAGTTTATTTTGAAATTACTTTTCCTACAAGTATTAGGTTTAGTTTATTATAAATAAGCCGACAAGCATATGTAATTCATTCATTCATTCAATAATATTTTAAAGAGCTTTTCTTCTATCTTCCTTGTGAATTCAAGGGTGTTCTTGTAGATTCAAGAATTCTCGTCTACTAGAACGATATCTAGTCTTGTGTGATTTATTCCGCTACGTCAGGTTGATATCAAAATGACATGAGAATGGATTGTTTTCAATCTTTAATAATAAATAAAATCATCTAGTTCAACTAATTATAATACTCACATTGATGATTGGATTAATTTGTTATTTAGGATTCTATGTGTAAATCATACTTGAAAATTAGATTGATTCACTAATTGTAATTATATAATGTCATTAAATTAATTTTTAAAAAATGAGTGATATATTATTAAAATGGATAAATTACACCCTCATCACCTCCTACAATATGGGTCACTTGTCAGTCCTTAAAAAAAATATTCTTTGATTTTGGTTTCTAAATTGTTTGTCATTTCTCACTTAGGTCCAATTACTAACTTCTGTCACATTTAAGGAGCAATTTTGAAATTTCAATTTTTGTTCTACATTTTAGTCCCTAAAAAATTAAGTGAAGAAAATGAAATTTCCCACTTTGGTCCCAAAATTAAAATTCAAACCCAAACCCAAACCCAAACCCAAACCCAAACCAAATCTCAAAACCATTCCCACTCCAAAACTCATATTTCTCCCCTGATTTCGGTATAAATTTTTAAATTTTTGACACTCATAATAATTCTCTGTTCTCTCATGCCTTCTTCCATACCATTTGTGAGTGTTTTTCCTCTTCAACTCTAACTTTTGGCAATGTTCGAAGTCTCAGCGAAGGTGGCGAAGTTAGGCAACGGCGACAAGGACAACATCGACAGTGACGGCAAGTTTTGATGCAGATCTTGCTTGGTTTGATACAGATCTAGCTTCCAAACCACATCTACAAGAAGATCAGTGATTTTTCTTAAATCGTAACTAATTTTTTTGGCAAATTTGTTGTTTTTTGTTCTGTTGTTCTTGTTTATTATTTGGTTGCTTGTGTGACCCTTTAAAATCTTGTCATTTTTCTTTTGTTGATCTTTTCGTTATTTGTTTTTTAATATATCTTTTTTTTCATGATCTCAAAAAAAAGAACAAAAGACTAGGAATCAAAGTCTAAGGGCTAGAGAGGAGGAATGTGGACGGGAGGGAAGAAAAATTAGATGGAAAGAGATGGGCTGCGATGGGTGGCAGTTTGAGTTAATCTATATGAAGGGTTGTGTGTCGAGAGACTTGATTGTTGTGAGAATGAAAAAAATAGAAAAGGTGGTCACTTATGAGGGGTGGAGTGAGAAAGTGTATAGAGAAGGGTACAGAGAAAGGGAAAAACATGTAAAAGTTTGTCTTGTGAGACCATATTTGAGTAGGTGATGCAACAAGTTGTGATTGAGAAAAACCTTTTTTTGTTTGGGGGAATCACAATTCGGGTGTATCTTTTCCAAAAAAATCAAATCAATAGTAAACTTTACAACTGTTAATAATTAAATTCATAAACTTTTCACTAATCTGTAAATATATTGTAAACATCCACTAATGTGTAATTTCCCTTCTTTTTTGTTGAGTTGTACAACTTTTTGGGGGGAGGTAAGGGACCAAAGTCGGAAATTCTTTTAATAAAAACAAAAAATTAAGATAAGTCATTTTCATGAATTGCGCCTAAGGCCAAGTTTGGCATGACCTACATAATACAAAAAGTCAAAAAATCACTATCCTATTTAAGTCACATCATCTTATTTAAATCACATTACCTCTCTAATACATCACATCAAACTCAACCCAAACCCAACCCATATAAGCCAATAAGTTAAAAAATATACTTTTTTAGAACATCTCAAACTAACCCTAAATACGAGTTAGGTCTGGTCAACCCAAATCATGTAGCATTTTTAGTCACAAAAGTGCCACAGAAGTATAACAGTTATTAAAATTTGGACAGAAGTGAAAAAAGAAACTTATACTTTGGCAGGTAAATCACGTACACCCTATAGTTATCGAAATAATCAATTTTTTTAATAAATGATATATTCATATGGGTCTTAACTTTTTTTGTTTGAACAAGCATATGGGTTTAATTTGGAGACACTAAACAAAATGAGATGGGAAGCAATGAAGAAAATTACTCTTAAAACTCACTCCTTAAATCTCTCCAAAAAGGCTTGAAGCCTCTTACCAGAGAGAGTGAGCGACATTGAGTGTTCCTCACATAAATTAGACACGTAAATAAGGTTTAAAACAAACTTAGTTGATACATTTAAGAAAAAAATGTAACGATTACACAATACATAAGACAAAGAAAATTCATTTGTCATGGCAAACTATCAGTGTCATTGAAAATTAAGTACCCAAAATGCAAACGAATTGAAAGGAATCATGTTGGGCAAAATCATCCCAGTATCTTACTGTTTACATTCTTATGGATGAATAATAACAAATTAAGACAAGGAAAGATAAGGAATTATGAAATAAACAAAACTAATAAAGCTTTTTAAAATCTATTTTACAAGTGCTACAGTGTCTGCCATGATGAAACATCTCTAACATAGACCTATTACAATGTGTACACTAAATATATCTAATACAAACAAACACATTACCCAAAAATACAGGAAGACAAAAAAAAGTAAAAAATGTTCAGACCAATCAAACTTGTTACTAGTTAAAAAGCTATGTCAAAACATCACAATGATCACATATTAGCACAAGCTTAAATTCAGCAGCCTTGAGACCGTAACACATGCATGCACCATGAGAGGAAAAGTCAGAGTTGCCAGCATTCAGCTGCAAACTAAAAGCATTCTTCCACATAGCCTAGTGAAACTAATCTGATCAGCTAGGGAATACATTTTCTCAGTGATCTAGAGACCACTGGATTTTCTCTTGAATATAGGAATCTACTTCTCAAAACTTACTATTCCTCCTAATTTTGAATTTCTTATGTTTTCGAATCATGGAAAGGGAAAGAATAGAAGAGCAGACGGGAGAGCTTATGTACAAGATGACTTGTGGCTCGTGTGGGTGGGGGGGAGGAGGTCCACCTACACATAGAACCCCCCTTCTCCGACCCACACTTCAGAACAGAAGAATTTGAGCTAGTATGGCAATGGGACTCAGAAGAGACATCCCACACTTCAGTGGGAGTTTTTTTTGTAGATCAGCCTGAAAGTGTCCAGCAATGTTAGTCATACGAGGAGATATAAGAGCAGCTAAAACTGCGAAATTGCTGCTAAAATGGAGACTGCACATATGATAATTTGCACGGGAACTAAACCTGACGATGAACCTCCGCTTGAATGTTGGTGCCCAATGTACATCATGGTTTTGTTCACTAGGGGCAGCTCGGCTGTTTCCCTTCGTAGTTCCAGCAATTTTTCACTGCATCATGCAAATTACTTGTAACCATTTCGTTTTTTGATCGAAAAGAAATATTGTTAGTAAAGAAGAAAATTACAAGAGAAACAGGAGAACAAGATATCCTCTGAGAAAAGAAAAGCAAAAGCAAAGACAATCAAATTCTCACACTACAAATCCCACACTGCTCTCATATCTCTACAGATCAAAAAAAGTAGGGATTCTTCTAAAGGGCTGTTTGATTGGGGTATATAAGAGGGGGACATGAGGGTTGACCGATATACAACCGGTGGAGCTTACATGTATTTTTGTCTCTCCCTGTCCCATGTTTGGTTGCTCTAGATATGAGGTGTCCGGATATCATATCCCACAATAGGTGGGATATACAATACCACCCGATCATGGTGATGCATATCCGCCACCATTGGATATAGGTTCATCCTTCATCCAACGGCCAAAAATAAACACTCCTCTTATCCCATGCTATATCCTACCCTAACCAAAAATAATAAAAGTGACCCCTACAGTATATATATTAATCCATCTCATATCCTAACATATTGTATATCTTCCTTACCCCCTTGTATCTAGTCCAGACAATCAAATAAGGCCTAAAGGGTTTGGAGACTGAAACCCAAAAAGATGATAAGTAACAAACTTTATCCCACAAAAATGACAAGTATCAGACCATTACATGAGAGTTTTATACAACTCAATGCATTTACCTGGAAATCTTTGGACACAATGATGTAGCAAGATACAATTTGATGTAACAGTCATTTGTTACTATATAGTCTATATGCTTGGAACTTACAGAAGAAATAAAGGTAAATACAAGGATTTGTGATCTGTTTTGCAGAGATCTCTCTTTTTCTTTATTTCTTTAAAAAATTAAAAATAAAAAATAAAATAAAATAAAGCAAGAGAAAAAACAATAAGATATCATTCAATGGTATCACTTCTTTGTAGAAAGATCCTTTTCGAAGATAAATCAAAAGCTAGCACTTAATAAGCATTACAAAATATCCCCAAAATTGTCCTACATTTCAAATAGCATCATCATTGTAGGGTATGTGTGTTAGGGAAGGGAGACAAGGGGTGGGGAAGAGACAATCACATGTAGCAATTTTTTCATCCAATGCATTGATCCCACTCTAAACTGAATAAGAGTTAGAAACTATGAGCATGGCAATGGAGAACATTTTGACTACAAAACCAGTAACTAGCAAACAAAAAATCATTAATTACTAAACAAGCATCATAAGTTTGTATTATAAGTTTGTGTAACATGAGTTAGTGTGTCTGTGATTTTCGTAGATGTAACTTGGAATTCAATCTATAGAGCTTGGGCTTGGTTGTAATGGACCAGGTTAGGTTGTATAGAGCTTGGGCTTGGTTGAAATGGATGGTTAGATTAGGTTAGGTTCAGTATTAGAGAACCACGTGGCTTGAATAAAGGAGTTTGGTAGTAGGTCGTTTTACTTAAGTCTATGCATATTAACTTGTGACTGATAGTGGATTTTGACCAACTAGGTGTGCTTGTAGTTTTTCCCTTGTTTACGAGGGTTTTTCACGTAAATTTTCTTATTTTATTGCATTTTCTGTGTGGTTGCCTCGAGAATCGATGATCATTCATATTAGTTGATCAATTTGAATTAGTATAGTTTCTATTGTTTAGATAATAAATCAATTATCTAAAATATTTTAATTGTTAATAATCTTTAGAGTTTGGGGAATTCGCCCCCTTTAGGCACACAGAGTCCACATCTACGATTTCAGCTAGAAAAAATGAGGTATAGTGAACGTTTGAAAACTGTTTGAAAGATGAATTTGATCCAAGTAGTTCAACAGATCAACTCAGCCCATATTATCATCATTATGCTCATTCTCATCATCATCTCAGTCTTTCTTGCTGGTAAGAAATTCAATTTTATAGGAAGAGGAAATTTCATTTGACTTTTTCTCTATTCATTTATGGAGAGTCCAAGTTACAGCCAAAAGAAAGAAAATCACTACTTCTGATTTGTTCTATATCTATAGTATTTTATGAAGCACACAGCTCTTTGAAGCGTTGACACGATTTTTTCTATACATAAAATACCCTTTCAGTTCTAATTGCTCAAACAACTTAGTAACTGTCATGATTGATATAACCGTTTCACACACATAATAATGTGTGCCCACACCTCCAGTTAATATAATAAGGAAACACATGTTTTGGGGAAGTTTCTTTTCCTCGAAGTCCTACTGCCTATGTTACAAGTGCTTTGTGTCCAAATATCCGACTCATCTAATTACAATGTCCTAGGACACATCAAAATATTCATATTTTTTGATAGCTTCTGGTCCTTGACATCTCATCAAAAAAATAAGATTGTAGTTACGAAACGGCCGAGTGAGAAATTGGTCCTACTTATTGGAACATGAAAGACATGGATCCATATTCAATATGCTATAATTTCTAAGGTAAAATAGTGTTCAACAACTTACTATAAAGAATTTCATGAATAAAATAGAGTTTTATATATAGTTTTATAGTAACCTGCTAGCTAAGTGAATTTCCAATTACACATGCCAGACACAGCTCATAATTTTTCCAAGAAAAAACTGACAATTTCCAAGAACAAATTAACCACAAGCTTCAAAAAAAAAAGGTGATGCTTTGCATAGGGGTTTTGTTAACAAGTGCCCTAAGGGCATTTGATAAGAATGCATTAAATGAGAGTAACTAACACCACTAATATAGAAAGTAACAAAGGCAATTACATGTAAGGTAATTCTATTTGCACATCACTTGTTATCTCAGTACACACCATCTCTTCACTTTTTGCTCAGTTCACACCACACCCAAATTGAAAGTTCTAATTTTGTCTCAATACACCATCATTTTTTTTAAAAATACCAAATTACCCTATTTTCTAACGAACGCCTAACCCCAACCATTTCCACCGCCAACCATCGGCTGCCACCCTTCCCTCCAATCACCGCCTCGTCCACAACCCCCCTCATCTCCCGGTGCCACCGCACCTCCTCTCCAATTGCCGCCTCCTCCACAACCTTCCATCTCTCTCACTACGGCCATCAGCCACCGCATCTGCCACCAACCTTGCCCCCAACCTTGCCCAGCCCCTCCCTCGTCGTCCCTCACCAAGCACCACACCACAGCCTTCCACTGCTGAGAACCACCCAAGCCCCCATCATCTCCCATTTTCGCTTCCTCTAAAACCCTAACTGCTACCATCATCTCCCTTTCTCCTCCCTCTGAAGCCCTAACACCTAACCCTAACCCTAAGCGACTGCCATCAAATATGATCTCTCTCTCGCTCTCTCTCTCTCTCTCTCTCTCTCTCTCTCTCTCTTCTTCCTTTTTCCTCATCAGCAAACCCCAAATATCTAGGGTGGGGTTCGCGTTTGCAGGGGATGGGGCTACAATGGGTGGTGTGTCATGGGAGTAGGTGCCATGACGGTTGTGCCATGACGGTGGCAGTCGCGGGCCGAAAGCAGCGGGATTGAGGGCTTCATGGGCTGCAACATGGGCTGCGAAGGGGGCTTGTAGTGGTGGCGACGGCCGGTGATGGCAGACGAAGGTGGGAGTAGATGGTGGAGGAAGGAGGCGGTTGTGATGGTGGTAAAACGTGTGCACTGAATTTTGTCCAAAAACATCATTTTCTTGAGGGACACAATTGTAATTAAAAAAACAAGTTCATGGTGTATGCTGAGATAATAGGTGATTTACAAATAGAATTATCCTAAAATGTATCATGCTAAAGAATTTTTTTGGTGAGACCAAACTACCCTTTTTTTTTTACCAATATATATATGACTTTCAAAAATTAGATTAATTAAACTTTTTTTCAGCCCCTTAAAAGGACTAAAAGTTTAATTAATCTAATTTTTGAAATAGTGATATTTGTTACAAAAATTTAAACGTATATCTTATAATATTAGAAAAATGATATACAAAATCATTTTCTAAATCATTGTGTAAAAAATATGATTAGATAATGATTAGAGAATATGAAAGAGAATTCTCTTAAATATTCTAATATATTGCCACATCATTGGTTTGAAAAATGAGTCTAATTTTTAGACTTGAAAAACACTACTCATAATATTATGATCAAATTATATATATATATATATATAGGTCTCCTAACTAAGAAAAAAAAATTTAAAAAAAAAAAAGTGTGGTGTAATGGGAAAAGTAACTAAAAAGTAAAATAATAATAAAAAAAAAAGAAAAAAAAAAGATACTTTAGTCTCATCAAAATAAAAATCTCTTTAACATGATATATTTATTGTCTTTGTTATTTTTTATATTAGTGTGATTACTTATTCTCATTTAATACATTCTTATCAAGTACATACACTAGCATAAAACCTGTGCTATGCACAGAAGAATCAGAATTTTATTTATAAATTAAAAATAATAAAGCCTTTTAAAGTATATATATATTGCACAATCTTGATTTATATTTCTCTTTATTTTTAATATTTTTAAATTTGAAAGAGAAAAAGAGATGTGATTTTAGTTGTGGTGTAAATCTAAGGTGGAGTTAGTAGATTTTGATTATGATAGAGATTTAATGTGGTAATTTTTAGTAGTAAAATATACATCAAAATTAGGCCTTATCTTGTTAGGTGTTCTAAATTTTGAACCTTTATGCAATAAGAATTTTTTTTTTTTTTCCCCTTTAGTGAACATTGGACAACATGGTACATAGTCTAATGATTATGAATTTTTTTTTATATTTATTACATTTTTTATAATCAAATAGTTATGATTGAGATATAGTTAAATATCTAACCCAATTGATCATAACCACATATGCCAATTAATTTATCTAATAAATAAGTGTTTTCACCATCTAAAAAAAATTAAGTGTTTTTATTTATATTTTTTTATTTGTAGTAGAATAAGAAAAGTATTTTTAATGTTCAATTTTTTTTTAAAGTTCAATAAATAGTTATGATTAAGTTACAATCAAAATGTTTAACCCAATTAGATTATGCCCCATGCAATAGATGTTTTTAATTTTAATTTTTTAAATTTAGCCAATAGATATAATTAAATTGTAGTCTTGTCTAATCCCATTAAATTGTGTTAATTATATCAATAAGATAGTTGTTTTAAATTTTTAAATTTAGCAAACATGATTAAAGGATGATTCAATAGAAACCAAATTGATACTATTAGTTGAACAGTTTTTTCCCATAAGGAATCTCAAGTTTTTTTTCGAAAGGAAATAAGATTAAGAAGAAAAACATCTTAACATAAAACTAATCATTTAATAAAAAAAGCCATAATATCTCATACTTAAGCTAAACAATATGAATAATATCTAAAAACTGACTTTCGCCGATCCAAATATATATATATATATGAATAATTAGTCAAACTAAATATTGATAATTTTTATACCACACAATTTATTAATAAAGTTCTCACATAAACAATAGAATAGACAAAAGTGAGAATAAAAACAATACAAAATAAATAAATAAATAAAAGAATAGAAAAAAACATAAATCAATTTAATAATTGCTATCAATCATTGAAATGAATTTTTAAGATATCATATATAGCTAATAAGTAGATCAATAGAGACTAAAAATGTAGATGTATAGTAGTAGTTATACCAAATATTATAGGGCAAATGATACATTTCAGAAACATGCATAATATATATATATATTATAGCGAGTTAAAATGAACTGATTAATAATTGTAATATGCATGAATTATTCAATAAAAATTCTTTTCGAGCACTAACACAAATTACATGCAAAGATCTATAAATCTAGAGTAATTGCATGAAAAAGTTTATAGACCTAAGTAGATTTTATGTAAAACTATATAGACCGTATGTAAATTTATATGAATTTGAACATGTTGCTTAAAAAAATCTATCATTAAAATATCAATAGAATAAAGATGAAAAAAAATTACATAGAATTTTATGGCTTCAAATAGATTTCAATTAAAAAAATGATTAACCTCAAGGGATTCCTTGTAAAACTATATGTATATTATAATCTTCCCTAGATAGGAAAAATAAATAAATTATTGGAGTTAGGAGATATAAAATATTAATACCTTAAAGAAATTTTTATGATAAATGGATGTTGTTGGGAGTTTGTTTCCAATGTTGGGTTTTGTTGGTGGATGTTCAAATTTATATGGAAACTTAATTTAAAGATAATGTATTTTGGAGGTTTGTGTTTAAATTCAAATTTAATTTTTTGATAAAAATTACGAGCTAAAGATATCATAGAAAATTTAAATTTAAAATTTTAGCATCACATTTTTTTAAAATACAAATCAATTATTTTATTTTTTTTAAAACCAGGCATTTATCTGACGACTTATCTGGTTGTTTATTTATTATTTTTGACCATTTTCATCTTCTTTTTTTTCTTTTTCTTTTTTTTGTAAAATGAAGTATGATCCAATAGAAATTAAGTATGACATTTTGTAATTTTTTTTAAATGTAAAAATTCAAAAATTTTAGATTGAGATTTTAGATAGACACCACGAAGATGTTATCTGATTTTTTTTTTTTATATATAACAGTTATGAATAAGAGTTATTGTGGGTTTTTTTCTTTTTAATTTGAATTTAGACATGTGGGTTTCTATATACATATATCTATACTTAAAACTCTAAAGAAAGATATTATTTGAATTTTTTTTATTATTATCTTTTATTTGGGGGAGAGAATGAGAATATTTGAATAGTGAGAATAGAGGTGAAGGGAGGTGGCACGTATTTATTTATTTATTTCAAAATTATGAGAATTTAAGAATGACTTTTGACATAATAAACATTTGGTGACTTTTGCACAAACTTGAGATGTGCAGCAGCTGTTTCAATAATTCAACATCATATTTATCAAAAATTATTTTGTTAATGATAAAGATAAGCATTAATTTGGAGGAAATGCATGAAAATGATGCAAGGTCACCACAAACCATGCTTAATTAATTAAAAGCTAATTGGTTTGGAAATTAGTTACTTTAATTGATTTTTTTTAACTTTTATAAAGAGACTGTAAAAAAATATAAAGAATAGAATAGTTGATTTTTAGCAATGACATTTTAATTTTTTAACTAAAATGCAAGGGAGGAGTGTTTTTAGCTTTGTTTTGTTTTTTTATTATTAATTTTTAATTTTCAATAATTTACAACAAACAGACCTAAAAATCACAACAAAATAATTGAAAGGGTAAGCAAGTAATTTTACCTGGTATACGGCAAAGGGCAGAAAATGATAAGGTAGTCCGCAGCTGCACAAGTAAACGTGCTGGTCTTATCATCATAAGCATAGCTATAGGATCGCGGACACGCGTGCTTAAAAAACTGCGAGTACACCGACGGCTGACACGTGTCCGGCGTACTAAAACCCTCGCTACAGCAATACTGCGGATCCCCAAACGCCTCACACGCGCTCCTACATGCGACTCCCAAATTCCCACTCGCCACCCTCAGGTCCGCCGGACAACCGCCGTTGAGATCCACCAAACACCCGGTGGAGCTGCATCCCCCGCTTGTACCTCCCACCGTGATCACCAGAATCGGGAGGTTGTAGCCATCGACCAAGCTCACGTCGTAGAAATCGAGCCCTTGATCGCCGTTGAGAGTGAATTCGGCTAGAGTGGCCGGAGGGATAGCGCCGGCGCCGGCGCACTCGACCATGCCGGAGCCGCAATCGGCGGTGGCGCAAGAGAATTTGCCAGAGGAGTCGTGGGAGCAGAGGGTCCGAGCCCATAACCGACCCGACCAGGATTTGGGGGCTGTGAGGGTCCGGGATTTGCCCGGCTCGAGAGTGAAGCCGGTGGGGGTGAGTACTGTCCTGTTGGCGCCTGTTAGTATTCCGGGCCATATCGTGTGCCGACACTTGTTGACGATCTTGAAAGTTGTGGAATCTACAAAATGAAAAGATGAGAGGGAGAGAAGAAGAGTGAGAAGGGATGCAGAGATGAGTGAGCGATCCATGAGAGAGACAGAGCGAGAGAGAGAGAGGAGTTTGGAAATTATGGAGAAAGTTTTTGTTTTGATTTCTTTTTTAGTGGTGGGAATAAAGAAAGGTAGAGAGTGGAGTAGTGAACTGGTTTTTTAGTTCTCCAGCTTGCTTTTACTGGGATATTTCTGTCTTTTCCATCTTTGTGTTTTCTTTTGGAGTTTCTTATCATCCAAACAAGAGAAAAGAGATGGTAATTGGGAGCTTCTATACTTTGGCCTTGTTTGGGATGTGTTAGAATTGCATATATTTTTATTGTTTTTGAATTACACCAATTTTATTTGGGTCACGTAATTTTTTTGTTATATTCTACCTTCTTTTTTTTTTATAGAATGTCAAAAAAAAAATTATTTAAATCATTTCAAATATTTTTTTTTGGGTGAAAATTTGCTTATAAAATTATTAATTATTTGAGAATAGATTATTTTAATATTTTTTATTTTATAAAAAGATATTCAAAAAAGTAAAAAAAAGACAATAAATATGAAATGATGTGACTTAAATAAAATAAATATATAATAAATATATTATTTTATATTATGCACAAACAACCCCCAAGCCTAGTTTAATACTCTGTATATCAAATCTTTTTAAAAAATTATAAATTCAATAACACATTGCTGTTATCTAATACTATTATATGATTTGGATATGTGAGAACAATAATTTAGTTTTTGGTAAATTACAAACACATTTCCTGAGGTTTACTTAAATTATAAATTACTCTTTGTGATTTTATAAATTACATTATACCTCTTAAAGTTTCTAATTGCACAATAAATATACATTTTTATTAATAAATCATTAAGTTAATTAATAATTTTTAATAATGTTAACTTTTTATTTCAATTAATAATTCAAATAATTTTACTCTTGATAGATCAACAGTTAAAATTTTATTTTTTCAACTAATTCTGCTAAATAAAAAATTCTGACAAGGAAGTATTTGTAATTTTTTAAATCACAAGGGACAATTCATATTTTAAGCAAATCTTTGGGAGTGTATTTGTAATTTACCCTTTAATTTTTAAAGACACTCCTTATTAAAAATGCTTGTAATTTTAAAAAATTATTTTCACACAAAAATATAAATATTATGAAAAATGATGAGTGTTTTCAAAAAAATTATGATTTTTTTAAATACAAAAAACCAAAATCGGAAATATAAAGGTTAATTACACCAAAGCCTCATTAATTATTTGTAAAAATCACTTTTATCCCCTCATTTATGAACCTATTCATGCTCATTTTCCTATAAAAAAATTGTTCAAGTATATATCCCTTCTAAAGGTGGTCTGGGGAGTGAAAATATTTCCATAGTCGAAGAGATTAAAATTTACGAGTTGATAAATGAAGGGAAAAAGTGATATTTATAAATAGTTGAGGGGTATTGGTATAATTAACAAAAAGCGATGATAAACACGCCCAAGTATCGTGATGTTAAAGGGGTGGACCGGTGAGTCCAGGCACATTGAGATTGGGTTCTTATTTTGGGCTAAGCCTATGTTTTAAGGGCAACCCAAAGAAAGTCCAAGTGCGGCCCACAGATAAACAACTGGCCAATTAATGGGCCCGGCCTGTCGGAAATGAGATTTTGATAGACAAGTCCAGCAAGTGATGATGATGATGCCATAGTTAAAAGTTAAAAGTTAAAAAGTTATTAAAAAATTAAAAATTATACCAAAAAAAAAATTACAATTTCTTCACATTTTTTTGCTTATTGTACATTTTTTTGTAAAAAAATTAAAAAGCTATTTCCAAACACTATAATTTTTTTCACCACTTATTTTAGGTTAAAAAATACTCCCAAACCAATGCTATATTGATGAGTTGTTCTTTTGCTTAGGCCACTCATTCGGCAGACCTTAATTATCGTTAAATCATACTAACAATTATATGGTTATTTAAAGTGTCACCTCACATTTATATCTTCAAAAAAAAAAAATGGCCTCACATGAAATTTAAAATTTTAAGAACAAGTTTTATTTATTTATTGCATTCATGTAATTCTAACAATTTTTTTCTTTTTAGTGTGGTTCCTTGTACCTAAGCTCAATTATGGAGGTGTTTTATTATATTAAATAGTATTTGAGTAGCTTTTAAACTTGTTATAATATTTAAATCATATTTGATTAGCAGGATTTATAAGAATTAACAATATATTAAATTAGTATAGGATTAGTTATCCAACTGTATTAGTGGGATAAATAATTTTCTCTTATTCATGTTTGTTTTGTAATAAATATAAAATATATAATCTCAATTATATGTTTGTTTTTGTATTATTAATTGTATAATTAAAAATTTATTAATTTTGTTACGTAGAATATTCATTGAAATTGAATCCAAATAACGAAAACTACAATCAAATATTAAAATATGAGTCTTGTATATTAATAATTTCAATTAGGAAAATGGTTTGTAGCTCGAATATCCCTTCCCCGAATCCCCCCGACTGCCCAAAACGACATTGTTTTGGGCAGTTTCCTTTCTTTTCTTTTTTTCTTTATTTCCTCCTTTATGTCTGAAACGCAGAGAGAAGAAGATGAAGAGGGAGAGAAAGAGAAGAGAGGGGAAGAGGGAATGGAGAGAGAGAAAGAGAGAGAGGGGTCGTCGTCGATCACCATCATCGCCGCCTCCTCCTCCGCCTCTGCCTTCGATTTTTTTTTTAGCCCCTTTTTTTTCGGATCGATCGTTGTGTTTTTTTTCAAATCAACCATTTTTTTTTTCTTCAAATCGATGTGTTGATGATGATGATGGTGATGTTGTTGTTGATGATGAAGATGTTTTGGACCTAAAGATGAATGGTTGATTTTTTTTTTTTTTTTCTGGATCTGAATGGTTGCTGGGTGGTTCTCTCTCTCTCTCTCTGCTACTCTCTCTCTTCTTCTTCTTCTCCTCTTCTCTTCTTCCTTCTTCTTCTGCGTTATTGAAAAAAAAAATATCAAAACGACGAAACAACGTCGTTTTGAATTCAGAGGGATTCGGGTAAGGGAGGATTCGAGCTACGTAGCATAACTGTTTCAATTATATATGTTATATAAGTGGCTCAAGCAGATCTTAAAGGTACAAGCAAGCCTCATGATGGTATTTGTTGATGAAATGACCTCGTGACGCATCCAATTATGTTGCATGGGTAAATAAGGGCAGCCTCATGGAGTTGACCATAAGTCCATAATTGAATGCATGGGTAGTGAAGGCCCACATCATGTAATTGCATCCTAAAGCCAATGCTGGTCCTTAATTCCATTCCTATTGAAAGAGCATTCAAAAAGCAAAGGTTCTTTCACATAGACAACGTGGGGGAGAAAAGGGGGTGAAGAATGGGCAAAAGATTGACTCAACAATGAAGCTTTTAATGATTGCTAATACATAAATTATAATTAAGGTCTCATTTGTTAACTATATATTTTAGTCAAAAAAAATTAAAAAGTTAGTATAAGTGGTCACATCAATTTCTTTATATTTTTACATTTTTTTTATAAAAAAATTAAAAAATTATTAAAATAATATATGAAAGTCTCGAAAGACCAACATGCTTATAGCTCAACGGTATGACTCGCCTCTTATATTAGAGAAATCAAAGGTTTCACTCTTGTTAAAGGTGAGAGTTGGATAGCTTTTTGGTAATGGCTTATCTTTAATTTCAACTTGTACAACCAGCCAATTGTTGCTTAGTGCCCTTCCTTCCTCACCTTTTTAGGAATAGTCTATACATATATTGCAAATTTAACTTTAAAAAAAATGATGTTTAAAGAAAAATAATATTTGTTATTGGATAAATTTCATAATTTTATTCCATCTCTTATATATATTTTATGTGATAAATAGCATATATATTTATGTAAAACTCAACATATATTAAAATATAAATAAATAAACGAAACTCGCATGAAAAATAACGTGAAAGTAAAATGTTTTGGTGGGTTGAAGATTCACTGTCTTACTTCATTCACAACTATCTAATCATGTCTTAATCACAACTATCAAATCATGTGTTAAGATATTCATATATCAACGGTTGTGAGTCAATTAAGATAAATACACAAATAGTTTTTTAAATAAAATTCTGGTGGACTAATGATTCCCTATCTTATAAATCAATTTTCTATGTCCTAATTTATTTATAGTCATTTGATAACATTTCAAGAGTGTCACGTAATTTTATAAATAAATTGGGACAAGTGAATAAAGAATTTTTTAAGCAAACTATGGGAGATCCGCACTTCTCTCTGCCATCCCTCACCCCACCTAACATTTCAAGAGTCTCACGTAAGCTATAAATAAATTGGAACAAGTGAATGAAGAATTTTTTAAACAAACTATGGGAGATCCGCAAGAATTTTTTAAACAAACTATGGGAGATCCGCACTTCTCTCTTCCATCCCTCACTCCACTCAAGAAACTATTATTTAACAAGTACTCATCATCATCTTAGCTAACAAGGAATCGTATTCCACACAAAGTGTAACACATGTTGAATGACCCCACTCAATTTATCTGTAGCAAAACCATCTCTCATTTTTCTAAAAATTTCTATCACTACAACAATTAAAACATTTTCTCTTTGTTGGTGTCCGTCACTAGAGTTGGGTATAAAATTATTCAAACTGTCTAATACGGCCAATTTAAATTGATTCGCATATAAATAAACAATTTCGCAGACATAAAGTGGATGGATGTAATTTGGAGTATGACATTATTGCGGGTTGCGAGTTTTACCCGCATCCGTAAGAACTCGTCTATATTTAGACCCTTTTTAAAATAAAATAAAAAAAACCTAGACCGTTGATTTTATTTATCCTATCCTAGATGGAGTTTGCGAGCTTGCAAATGTTGTTATTTTATTTAATGGGTTTTAATTGGACGAAATCTGACAATAATTTATTATTATTTCATTATTGCATTTTGAATGAATGTAAAACTTAATGAAGAATTACTTCTAGATAAGTTTAGGATTTTGAATGATTTTACTTTAATTGTATTGTTGGGTAGTGAATGATTTTGATGATTTAATTTAGGATTTTAAAAGATGTGCTTGTATTAATTTATGGTTTTATTGAAAAAATTTAAGATTTTAATGATTTGCTTATATTAAGAATTGATTTTGTTGTATTTTTAATTTTATAAGTTTTAATTCATCTATCTATCTATCTATATATCTATA